TGGAGTCCTGGTTCCTGGAGGAGCTGTGTTCCCTTTGACTTTGCTTAGAGCACAGGGTGGATGCTCGGTATTTCTGAAACACAAAAACTAATAAATGACAGACTGTCATAGCTGTTAGTTACAACCACTGTGTGTGGGAGGGTGTGCTTGTATTGCTGTCAGACTTTTGTATTTCTCAATCATTGTTAATTACCATGGCATTTAGAGAGAACCAGTTACAGGGCATGATAATTTATTTTCTCCCTTATACTAATTAACTCTTACCCTAATTGTCCCTTAATGTTTCATTCTTGTATTCAAGCTAATAATGTGGTCATGCTTTTCGTGGTAGGTAATAGTCAGAGAGAGTCAAAAACAGAGAAAGAAATAGTCAAAATACTCTTTCTGATACCAAACACCAATGAATGGCTGCCCTGCAATTGGTGGAAAACAGAGCTATACATTGCTTGGGGTGAAATTTAGATCATACTTGTCATTAGACATTTTCCATTTCCAAACTTCTTCCTTTCTAAAAAATGACTTAGTGCTTCAACAATTAGTTGAGGCTTTTTATGTATGTAAATGTTGCCCTTGATCACCCTATATTTCAGCCTCCAAGCTACAAAAATCTCCCCCATCTTTCAAATACTGCAGAGGACATAGATCTGCTGTGGTAAATACCAAGGAAAAACCTATTAAAAAAATAAATCATTCCATATTTAGAGTAAATGCAATAAAGTAAGATGAGAGACACACACCTAATGAGGAAGACAAAGCCAAATGTTTTATAGTTGTATTATTTCCAGAGCATCGTCAACCTGTGACTAAATGACCCGAGTTCTGTGAAGAAAGGGGTATATGTGACTGAGGACTATGCTGTAACATACACACAGAGAGGAAATTTAATTTGAGCAGTAGACTTAATATTATTTTTTTAACTTCTGAGTGCCTGACCTTGCAATCTAAGCAACATTTTTTAACTTAATCTGTTTGGTATTCCTGAGTGCATACATACTGAAAGTAAATCAACCCCTTGCAACTCTCAGAAATAATTTCATGAAAAATATTAATCTGATGAGTTTCTATCTGTTTAGATACCTTGAAAGGAATTTAATGAATTTATCAAAGGCAAGAGTAGGAATATATAATTTCATTTCCGAAAAAGGAAAAAAGATCATTTAAGTGCTTCTTAGTTGTATTCATTAAAGTCTAATTTTTATGTAATCTAGCTGAACAGTGATACATGCAGATGTTGTCTTCTTGGGGTGTTGAATCATATTATTCTTACACCTCCTGATCCATATCCTGTTATGTCAGTGAAAAACTGCACATGCAATTGTCCAGAGTGTGTGCATTTTCAGGCTCACACTGCACTGATCCAGGGATCTGCACATCTCACACCTCCCAGACCACAGCACTCACACCTCTCCTGACTCATACCCCATTTTCCCATGGGATTGAGACCCCTACTTACAGAGGAGCACACCTTCTATACCTCTGTGATCCACACCTGAGACAGTCCCATGGGACAACCTGCATCAGACAGAGGACATCATCCTTGCCATGAGTGGGCTAGACATTGACCAATGTAACAGCCCTGGCATTGCCATGAGAGGTTACATGTGAACATTGGTGTCTCCTTCTCCCTCCCGTGCAGCTGTATTCCCAGAGCTCTCAGCACGCACACCGGAGAAGCCTTCTCCCTATGATGACCTTGGATTTGGTGACACTGGCGTATGAATTGGGTTCATACCTTTGGCATACTGGCTCTGTGTGAGGCAGAAAGCAGGCTTTATTCTTGAATTTGATGGAAATCTGTTTTGGGTCCCAAGACCTAAAACTTCCCTTTTTGGTCCTGTCTCACAGGTAGACATTACATCTGTGCACAGTCCCATAGGACTGCCTTGGATGAGACTTGTACAAGCAGCTGCCAATAGCAAGGAGCAGAACTTGGAAGCTTACTTAGAAAACAGTCAGTTGTATTATCGCTCTACCAGGAAAATCAACAAAAATGAGGAGCTGCTGGTCTGGTATGATGAGGAGCTTTCCAGCCTCTTGGGTTTCAATGAGATAAAAGCTCAGAGTCCTCAGAATGGTAAGTACGAAATTGCTGACTGCAGGGGTCACTAAGGACTGAAGTGAGTCTGCAACTTCTTTAGTATGTGGTGATCTTGTAATAAAGGACATAAAATCTGTCTAAATCCTTAGCCAGTTAGCTAAGAGAAAAGACCTTCTGCTTTGGGGATTGAGCTGGAGGCATAGAGCAAGAACAAATTTGCAGTTCTCAGTGCCATTTTCATTGCTACTTTCCAGCAGAGGATGGTGCACTAGGGATTAATGCTGAAATTTTTGAGCTGTGTAACAGAAGTTTATGCACCTGACTACCTTGGAATCCCGAAAGCCTAAAACCTAAGTTGGAAGTATGCCTTTTTTAGCTCATTGAGGAATCAGGTATAGGTTAGTGTTCAGCTTTAATCTTGTAAATGATCAGGGCTATAAAAATACATAACGACACAAGCAGTACTGTGTACAGCACAGTCTGCCTATTTAGTGTGGGACACAGTGGGAACAAGGAAAGGGGCATGGTTTTGATTTCGAGATGTCGCTAGAAATTTATTGCTCTAAAAGACATTGACTTGGCAATAGTTGAAAAAATAAGTCTAGATTACGAAGAGACCAAAAAAAATCACTGTCAGGTCCATGCCAAAGTTGACTCCAGCTGTCATTTGCAACAAGCTTTGATCTACTTAGACTGGAACAAACCCCTTTCTACATTTCCTTTGTTTGATTTAAACACATCTTATATAGATTGGTTAGTAAAGTTGTAGGTTGGTAAAGGTATGAGTTGGCAAATTTGTATGGTAATGTACTTGCCTGTAAATTGATATTAAATTAATATAGACACATTCATAGCAGGAACCCACTAAATCGTATTAACTGATTTCAGTGTATTACATTAGCTTCTGGGTAGACACACACTGTCAGCTCTCTGAATTTACCAGGGCAAAGTGCTATCTACACAAGAAACACTATGTCTAGACTCAAGACTTCAAACTAGCGGATATAATGTTCCACCCAAATCAGCAGCCTTATTTTCTTACAAATAGTTCCGTTTCTGGAGTTTGTGAAGCGCTCTAAGCTGTGCTGAGCCTACAAATTAGGAGTTTGTAGTTCTATGTATGTATGGACTTACCTATGTATTCCAGGCCTCAGGTGCTGTCTGGCATCATTTGCATTTAAAAACTGCTGTGTGTTGTGAAATAATGTAGCATAGATACTGTTTACAAAGGTTAAGATATGCCATACGTATCTTGGTCATTGAATTATGTGCCATCTATTCATGGGCAATCATCCCAATGAACCAGAGGTGCAGTACATCTGAAAGCCAGAAGGAAACAGTTTTCCCCATTCCTACTGCCTATCACTGGCATTGTTTCACTTTAAACATTATTTTCTGCGCCACAGGCATCTGTGCCTTAAGGCATATAGCAGTTTGCCAAGTAAGCATGAGTAAGGGCTTCAGGCATTATTGTCAGATGATTTGTGAAAGGTATTAAACTTCCAGAGTATCTATGCAGAAAATAGAGGTTCATGTCAAAATCTTCGAGTCCAGGTCTGAAACACATTATCACTTGGCTATGTAGCATTTAACATTCAGCCTGTATTAAAGACAGTGACTTACCTAGGAACTGTAGACCCAAATCTGGGGTCATACTTCAAATTGTCATAAAGTCCATATGATTTTATCTAGACCATTGTGTACTGGCTATTTTACGTAACATAAACTTGGCTTGAGAGTCTAAATGAAAGCATTTCTTCAAGTAGCACATGGAGGCAAATATGAGTAACCATTTTCCATAGCAGCAAGTGACCTGATTCTGCACTGGCATTAGCTTTACCATGTGTAATCTTGTATGACACAAGAGATGTTTCTGGTTTTTTGTTTGGGTCAATGACAGGGTCAGGACCTGCATTCATCCATGATTCTACCTTTGTGAAACTCATCATCTGTTGTCTGTTTTTGCAGAATTGAGATGCCAAGAGTGCGACCGAGTCTTTAAATGTGAGCATTCCTATCTATCCCATGTCCGCTTCCTATGTGTCCCAGAGAAGAGCGCCCTGCTATGGAGAAACTTACAGAACCCTAAGTCTGAAAAGAGCAACTTAGCTGAGCAGACCACGAATTTCCACAGCCTAGCAAGGGATCTAGAGGTCAAAATGTCAGCTTGTAAAGATGATGCCCATGGTATCACAGGAGAAAGGAGAGCAAAACCTGAAGAGGCTGAGAACAACAGGAGCAGGAAAACAGTGTTATTGGAGAAAACCAATAATCTGAGTGAGGAACACAGCTGTGGGGGCAAGGAAGAGGTTGGGGGAGAGCATGCATTGGCTGGTTCTTTCTGGAAGCTTAGTTCAGGGAGGCAGTCAGCTAGGAAGGATGCTTTAGAGCAGAAGCAGAGCGCTTTCACTGAGGTCAGGAGGATGAAGGAGAAGCTGAGGAATGAGAGACCGAAGGAGCCAGAACAGGAGGACGGTGCTGTCCCACTTGGTAAAGAGCAGGTGTCAAAGTTGCTGAACTCCTCTGGTAGTGCATTCTCTTTTGTGTGGCCCAGCAGTGCCCGAGGAGAACAGAAGAGTGCTTTCAGCAAACCCAGTAAGTGTCTAACAGAAAGAGCTGCAATAAATTCTTCTCATCCCATGAGTGAGTCACCAAAGACCCTGGGGGAGCTGTCTGGCTTCATTGCGACCACAGACATCATGTGCTGCAGCACTCTTCTCAATTCCAAGTTCTTTGTCAGTGATTTGTGTAATGCTCAGATGCTGCAGACAAGCATCACTCGGAGCAGTGTTTTCCCATGTACCTCAGAACCGTGGCCCAAACAAGCAGGAGGACAGTTACAAAACACAACCACCACTTCTTCTTCCTCCTCCTCCTCTTCCTTGACTCTTCTACCCCCTACTTTCACATCCTTTGGGGTGGCTGCCCAGAACTGGTGTGCCAAATGCAACCTGTCCTTTCGCATGACGTCCGATTTAGTCTTCCACATGCGGTCACATCACAAAAAAGAATACTCCTCAACTGAATCCCAGTGTAAGAGGAGACGAGAGGAGAAGCTAACATGTCCCATTTGTCATGAGTACTTCCGAGAACGCCATCACTTATCCCGACACATGACTTCTCATAATTAGAGCTGTGCAGACAGATCTCAGCAAAGGACTGGACAGGTTGGGTAAAGAAGGGGAAGATACTTCACTTGTATCCATTTGTTTTTGGGTTTACATTGATTTCTTACAGGAAATCACTGTTTACAATAATTTGTAATAGATGCTTTGCAAAAAAAATATAAAATGTTTACAAGAGTTTGAGTGGGTTGTAAGTTTTGAAAACTCAACCTAGCCCTTGTCAATCTATTTTTGAGGAAATAAAATAGTGAAATGAATGCACATGCAGTATTAATTTGCAAAGACTTGGGAACAAAATTATTGTTTTGCAAACAGTGTTTTCTTTGCTTGTATTTGATTTGCTGATGTCTGTGCAGTACAATGTAAATACAGAAGTAACAACCATCTCATTGAATGAAGAATCTTTAAGCAGTAAAAAAATCAGAGCTTATGCTAAAAGAAAAGAAGTTCCTGTTTCTAGCAGCTTTGGTGGACTCTTGCTCCTTTATGTTAGCTGAATCAACTCTCTTATCAGATTTGAGACTCTGAGTAAAAAACTTGTATCTCACTGGCTCCTTGGTTTTGAAAGGGACTTGAAGTTAAGACTCTACCTGAAATTTGTGATTGTCAACAACTGACCAGTAGACTGCTAAAGAGGATGTGACTTGTAAATCAGTGTATCTGAGTTCTGTTCTAGGCTCTGCTACTTTTGAAATATCTTTTACAAAGTTAAATCAACCTGGATCTGTATCAAAATGTGACCTGTTGTCAACGTCATTGTGCAGACAGGGAGCACGAATTCTGCCCTGATGTGTTCTTGCAAGATCTATGTGACTTTAGTAGGTATGCACATCTGATGGGGTAGAGTTTGGCCTGTGGTGTTCAGGTTTTGGATATACTAAAGGAAGCAACTAGAGTATTTGAGTTACTGTTAGCTACTGATAGATAGAATCTGCACACTTTAATTGTTGATGATAGGTTCTATTCTGCTAACAGCTAGAAGAAGCATGTCCTTCACAAAATGACACAGGCATATGTGAATTGCATTGCTTTAGACCAGCTTATCTATCCTTTGGTTTCTACATGGGCCAATTCCAGCTTTTTTTAAAAGAAAGTGCCAAATTCTCTCTATAGCCTGCCTATGTGAGACATTTTTCTTTTGCCTACTTTGGTTTGAGCTCTGTTTAGTCTCAGAAGCAGATGAGTTTATACTGCTCTGGGTGTCAAGGGGAAGCAACAATCCTTTGTTATACAGCTCATCTAATTAGCCTTTCATGACTTTTTTAATCCATTTAGTGGTTTGCTCTTGATAGCTTATACATGTTCCTCAAGAGAGCATTTATCACTCTCTTGTATAGTATTTTTTCAGTTTGTCTGATGTTTTTGTGGCCTGTCTCTGAGCCTTATCTGCTATTATTCCCTTTCAGATAGAGAATGATCAGAAACCACTCACTTCCCACCTAAGAGTAAAGGACATTGCAATATGCTCCGTATTATTTTCCACCATACTGATGATGTTATCCAGTGTTCGTCTGCTGCACACTGGACAGGATGATGCCTAGGTTGACAATGCAAGTATCAGCAAGTAAACACATCTGAGTGATAAAAGACAACCTGAGAGTCTTAGGCTGTCAGTTGGGATCAACATACTACACTCATTGTCATCACTTTGAAGATTTATGTAAGTCAGGAGACCGTATTCTTCCCAATATATTACTGTTGAGCATTAATACGTGGCTGTTTTCTATTAACATAAACATTTGACTTATAGCAGGCCAACCACTGGCTGTTCACCCCAGCTTTATTTTCCCAACATAAAGTGATTAAACTGTTACATTATACATTTGAGTTCAGAAGACATAAACTGAGACTGGAGGTGTGGTTGGATTGTAACACAGCTTTCCATGGTCAGTGGTGGAAGCTCTTTCACTGGAGTCATTAAAAACCAAAGTGAACAAAAGCTCTGAAACATGGAGCACAGGGAACAACCTTGCATTGAGTAGGGGATGATGTGGTTTCCTTCTAATCTTTCCATCTCTATTTGTGTCCAATAACGTTTACTGTGTAAGGAATATATTTATGGCAAGGTTTACTGGGCCAAATTTCACTCCATCTGGTTTTATCTGGGCACCAGCCAGTTTACTGTGAAGTCAGTGTCCATAAAGTGTAATGAAGGACTCCATGGTGTAACTGCATTCATATGTGGTTACGGTTATAGTTCCCATTAGTAGTTTAGGCCAGATTGTGATCTCATATATTCCAGTGCAAATCCAGAATAATTCCATGTTGCCACTCCCGATTTACACTGATTACTTTAAGATCAGCCTAGCCCAGTATAAATAAGACTAAAGATTTTTTTGGTACCACTTCTGCAAAATCTTCTCTTCTGTACTTACTGAAAGATGCCATGTCTTCTTAGCAGTTTTATGGTTAGAAACCTAGCTTCAGGTTTATTTTGGAAAAAGACAAGACCAGCTGTGTAATGCTCCCCAGTATTATGTTGGCACATTGCTTCAACATTACCCTGCTCCAAGGGCCTGTTTTTCCAGTGCACTACACCTGGCATACCATTTAGATTAGAATGAAGCATCACCAAATCTGACCAGTTACATGTTTTCACTGATTTTGTGTTGGTGTAAGTGATCTTGAGAAAGTGTGGAAAATGAGCCACTGGTAAATAGCTGCTGAATCTCAAAACCTCTTCCAATGGTGTGTTAGATCTACATCCTTAGAGGTCTCACTAGTAATCAAACTTCTTCACTCTGCTTATGGTATGAGGCTTAAGCAAGCAACGAGGTTACAGGGAGAGATAACTTTCCTTTATGTCATGAAGTTGTTCTCTGAGGAAAAAAAAAAAGGTAAGGACTCTTACTCAGTTTCTTTGTGGGCCTATCTCAGCCAGAGCAACTTACATGCTGTGATGACAAGTAATGTATAAATGCCTTCTGTGCACAGAAAAGCAAGAGCACCAGTTGTGAAAAATGACAGAGCTGATTCAAAATGCAAAAATGAAGAGAAGAGGTTTTTAATTAGCTTTATTTCTGGTACTGTCCTCACCTCCTCCAGCTGCAGGTGCAGAGCAGTTTCGTCCTAGCATGTAAAAATTGGCGATTTTCCTCCTGCAACATGGAAATCACACTGCAGGAAAATGTGTTCAATACTGCCTTTGCTCCTTTTTAGGTGGCCATTGGCAAGTGAACAAATTGCTTCTTATATTTGACTAAAGTGTTTTGTGAACTAAGACTTGTTTACACACACAACTGATCTATATGATGTCTTGTTGCCTGCTACACCTGTGCTGACATCAGAGCAAAACAACATAGCTGCCAACAGAACCAGAACTTGATTCTCTATATGTGTAAAATGAGCTCTTGTGTAAAGCCCCTTGTGAAGGCAGAGGGTCTGTCTTTTATGTGTCTCAAGTTTACTGAGTGTCTCATCTAAGCCGGGTTACATAAACCAGGAGGCTTATCCAAAATTTTTGCAGATTTTATTTCTTTAAGTGAAAATATTCATATTAAAGCTGAATGAATCAAATATTGCACAGGCAGAAGGAAGCCTAACGAGACAAAGAAAAACAAACTTCCTATAATTGAGTCATGCTGGAAGCTTTTTTCCCCTTATGTCTAGAAGTCTGAACATTTAAATTGGTGCAGATGAAAGGAAATCCTGTTGGAGGAAAGGCACTCCACTAGAGTAGGGGGTTCATGTAGAAATGAAAGGACTTAAGGAATTCATGAAGAACTGAATTCTGCCCCAGTGCAATACTGTGATTTAGTAGCAGGGATCTGTGTCTTTTCTACAAGTAGAAAGGCTTGGAAGAAAAAAAGATAAGGTTTTGTTTTTAAAAACAGGAGGAGACAATCTGAAGTCAGCTGATGGCTTCTTTTCCTGTCTTTGCTAGCAACTACCTGTGTCATTTTGAGCAAATCACTGTTCTTCATGACGTCTGTTTCTGGATCAGTGAAAAGGGACTTAACACAATGCTGTCAGGCTGCCGTGTTTCTGCAGTGGGTTGTGAGCTTACTGGTAGGGAATGCCAGATAAGGATATTTGTTCACTCATTTATCCCTGAACCTTTTCCAATGAAGATGTGTTTCTCCATTGAAATGGCACTCAGATACGCTTTTGGAGAATATATATTTACTTGCTTTTTGGGGGATAAGTTTTCACTAATTGATGCAGTCTGTGGGCTCCCATTGGTCTACAGAGCACAGTTTGAAAATCACTGGACTAAAGCAGTTCTTGTGGTATGATCAAGAAAGACTACATTAGAAACACTCTCCAGAAAGCAAGAATGCATCATTTTGTAGCAAAAAAAAATGAATTAACTGGCTGTCAGTTCTTTGTCAGAGTTCTGTGAGTGCCAAAAGGAGAAAGATCATATTGCTAGGAGGCCTGATACACCAACTCCTTTCTTCTGTCTTTAAAAGAAACATGATTAGGATTAAACTATTGAATGTCCATGTCAGCTCTGGAACCAGAAGACAGAAGGGTGGCAGTTTCAGAATGTTTCCTGTTTTGTGGAAAGGCACTTCCCAAACTGCATGTCCCTCCCTAAGAATATTTGTCTAACTTTCTCATTTAAACCACAAACCATGGATTTTCCATAACTAATTTTCAGTCATAGTTTCATGATATTTGAACCTTTCAATGCAGAGTAGTTTTCTACAAAATTACTGTCTATAGTTTTGTGAGGTCTGTTGATCATACTGTGCTGTGGTCATGGTTTGGTTTGAGCTTACAGTTTTAGTGGTCGCTAGAAACATCAAAAATGCCAGCTGGAGCCAAACCTGGAGGACTTACATACGAAGTGAGACATACAGCTCAGAATCTGTTTGACACTGTAGAACGTGGAAGATCCATGCAGAAAGCAGCTATGGGAAAAAAAGAAAGTTCTTGACCACATAGATGACAGAAATCTGCTTTAGTTCTGAAAGTGCAGGCTTAGGTTTCAGAGAAAGTTCTGTTACCTGTTATAATTCCAGATGTTCTACAAGTGTTCGGTACCTCTAAACAGTATGATATCACTAGGTTCAATGCCTAGTGAGTCCTGCCTTTGCATGTATTTCCTTTTTGTCAGTTCTGAATTTACCTATTTTCGACTTCACTGTGTTAGATAGGATAAGATATAGTTCATCTATCTTTCTTATTCTCTCTCTACCCTGAGATAAGAAAGATGGTCTTTTCAGTGACTTCAAACAAGATGCTTTCTGCAATACCTACCTTGAGCAAAAAGTACAATCTAAAACAATTTACATTACACTGTGTC